TCATAAAAGCAGCTGGTTTGTGTGCTGCTGTATCCCCTTCACATTTCAGACACTCATCTGAATCACTGCTGCTCCACCTGCATTATAGCACATAAAAATCACCACTGTGCTGCAGAAAAGATCTGGCTCCAGGCTCCGAGCTGAAGTCTGTGTAACACAGACATGGCCCCTAAGCCTCAGTGTCACAAAACAGTGCTTTGCTCTTTTTAATTTAAGAAATTTTCACTTAAAAGTTGCAGGCTCTTGACATCTGCAAGACTGCTATGATACGCAAAGCAAACAGCTGCATTGATAGAAGATCCCCAAATAAAAAGGCTTTGCAGAAATCAATACACACATTCATAGAATGCAATAAACTTTTTTGTAACTCATCAGAGTTAAGGATTCCTTTAAAACATGCTTTGAAAAGACAGCAGTAATAGGTTGGGATGCAAAATAAGATGAGTGCTTTAACAAGAGGCTTTAGGTTAATTGAAGTATCCTGCCAAGATATTCTATGGTTCACAACCAACCGAAGATGGGAACTGACACAGACTGTAACGGAGCTGTTCTCTGTAAGATTGTTGCTCAGTATTGTATGCTTTGACAGCACTACCTAAAATATAATGGGATTATGTACAGATTGAAAAAGAAATGCTGACTAATGCTGCTGCACTTGATCTGTTTCGTAAGTGAAAAGCCAGACTGTTTTCCCAAGCACTTCCTGGGCTTCAGAAAATGAAATGTAATTCTAAAGTTGACATTAACAGAGAAATACTGGCCTATTATAAAATACTGGAAGAGAGTATATGGCTGTTGTAAATTTGATCATTTTGAATTAGAAACACAATTAATCCAAGCTACCAGCAATTTGGATGTCATTAGGCAGCTGAAAGTTCTGAGTATACTTTGATATTGTAAAGGTGGTGGTTCTAATTATTTTCTTGGCTCAAGACAACTTTTATGTTCATCCTGATGCATGTTCTTTTCAAACAAATAGTAATGGAAAACTGGAAATCCCATATTTTTACTGGCTTTAATGGAGATGTGATAGGTTGCTCTTCTTGACGTACAAACTCAATATATAAATACAGTTAATGAGATCCTATGTGACTCCAGAGAACTTTAAGCTATGCTGATAGATGGGTACTATGCTTGTGAAAGACACACAGCCCACATATGCACAGGAGAGCTGCCCACACACGTATTTTTGAAAACAAATCTTGGTACCAAGTCCTAAGATTGATTGCTCAAATTCACAATTCCAGGGCAACCTCAGCATGAAAGCTGTGATCAGTCTTTGCAGCTACCAGGTCTCCATGGCCAGGGATTCTTAGCTGGGCTCGTCTGGAGCAATGAATGACGGAAGAACTGGACTCTCTAGAGTTCTGTAAATACTCCCCAGTGTGCCTGAAGGGCTATCCTAGAAAAGTGTACTCTGAACTCCCAGAGCCTTTATGCAAGGCTGAAGATGTCTTTAAGGCCTGGTGAGCTTATGTGATGAAGGTATTCTGAACAACAAGCCTCAGGGATTCCCAGTTGTGCCGTTTAGGTTTAATTTATGGCAGCCAGAAGCCTTGGAACCTTTTTGTAGATCAGAACTGTATCTTTTTACAAGAAGGAAGTGTCTGGGAGGAAGAAGTCAGACCACCCTTACCTCCACAGGCTCTGACACAACATCCAATTTTCTTCTGTTACATTCACTGGAAGAATCAGGAAAAGATTTGGAAAATCTATGTTGTTTTATTTTGGTTTGTTTGTTTTTTAAAAAAATACATCCAGAGCTCAGAGCAGAGTTATCCCTGTGAACTTGTACACTTTTCTACTCAGAAGATTTATGGATAGCTGGATGCTACCTGATTTTATTATGCAAGAAGGCTTTAGGGCATTTCCAAACACGACCTGACATGATAGAAGGGAAGACAGGCAGTGACAAGACTGTCTAATAGAGGCACTGCTACAGGTAGGATGGAGATACAGAGTCCAGGCACTGCCTGATTATTAACGTGCCAAAGCAGCAACATTGCTGCAAACTGACAGAGCTCATGTCAGAGCTACACATTCAGAAGAAAGAAAGCTCATGTCTCAACAGAACAGAGGGGACACTGCCAGCCTGCACACAGGTATTGGGGAAAAACTGCTAAGAGAAACCAGCCAAAGACAGGGAGTAGATCTAAACGCAAGAGCCTTTTAGACAGTCAGGCTGGGGACAAGTTGCTTGCCCAAAGCCCTCTTTAGTTCCCTGGGAGGAAACAAGAATCTCCAAGGCAATAATCCTGTCATCTGCAGGTGGGTCAGTCTTCCCACTGGCTGAAAAGGGAGCCACGGAGGATCAGGTTTAATTAAAACAGGTGTTTAACTTCCAGATGCCTCTATTTAGCTGCAATAATTCCACTCAGAGCAGATTTCACTATTTCAGCTGGATATTCTTTGCTATATTCTGTTTGTTTCCTTTTGCTCCAACTGTGTCTTTCCTATCTCTTCACACCAGCCAGAATTAACACCTGCCTCTTAGACCCTCACTTATCCATTCCATGCTGTTATCATTTATTGCCACTTTGCCACTTACAATGAAATTATCAACATTGTGCAGCTCTTCCACCTCATTAATCAAGAACTTAAATTAAAAAGTTGAGAGTCAGACTTTCAAATACTTGCTGCATTGTTTATACCCACATATTGGAAGAGTAAAAGAGGAAATAACAGCATGGATATTTTGAAACAGCCTGAGAAGACAGAGACAAATTTCATTAAATGCCCATGGTTTTAATGGGATGAAATAGATAAATTCAGGGCAGGAATCCCACAGACCATATGGGAATGATAGAGACCATGGAGAGGTTTTGTAAAGCATTGTGAGTTATTATACATGCGAGCTGATCAATAGCAACCATTGACTGAAGTCCAGTTTGCCTGAAACAAGAAAGCAACTAAAATTGAGCATATAAAATGAATTTGTAGAAATAAAATGAATTTGTGAGCTAAATATTTTTTGCAGCAAAATTTTCTGAACATTAATGAAAAAAATTGCTTCTTCTAAAATAAACCCTGCATATTGTAAAATAGGTTTTATTCAAAGCAGCAAAATGAAAATACATCTTAGAAAAACAAAAAGCACTGAAATAAAAATGTTCTTAGAAAAATAGCATCTTTCATTAAAATTCTCATAACACTTAAAAAAAATCCTTAAGAATTTAGCAATAGATATCACATACTGCATATGATTAATGTGTAGATGCATTAATAAATATACACTGATAAGATTAGCTTTTATTTTAGATATTTATCTATAGATTTTGATTTTGAAGCTGTAGTTCCAGTCTTGAAATCTTTGGATATTTCCAAATTATATCTTTTGGATATAATTTTTGATATCTTTTCAAAAAAGTGGACCTGTTTTTCTGGTCATAAATTAAGACTCTGATGGCAAACCTTGCGACTTTGAGCAGGGCAGCAGCTCAATGCTGTTACAAAATTTCTCTGTTCCTTTGGATAAAGGCTTGGGTTAAACACAGAATGTTTTAGTGCTGGTTAGAAAACATTTTGGATCTATCCTGTTTGATCCTTTATAGCTACCTAGAGCTGTAATTTACTTTTAAGGAACACATCTCTTAATCTCATGCAAAAGAAACAACAAAGAAATAACTTCCCTCTGAAATCCATTCAAAGGTATTTTAGGTTCTGAGGAAAAAATTTTAGACACAGCCTGTCTAAATCCCTGTGTTGTACTGAGACTTGAGCAACTGCAAAAACAATTTTCCAGCAACTATGGAAATTCACAAAGATTTATGCCATCTCCACAACACTGCCTTTTGTTGTTTATCATTATGGTTAAAGACTCACTGTGAACAATAACATCAAAATTTGTCAAAGAGAGATATGAAAGGTAATACCTTGAACCATGTTTGGTCTCAAAAGGTTTTGTGGATCCCTTGCTAATTTTGGCCTTACCTTTCCCACAAAAGGTTGGTTGCTCTGAGCCATTTTTGTTCCTTACCATTCAGTGATGGGAAGCATGAGGTCCCTCGGGGTCACTCTCTGCGTGCCAAGATCAACAACAGCCTATTAGCGTGTTTCTTGGAGAACATATTTTTGCTGGGCTGTGAAACCATTTAACTGACAAACTCTGCTTTGCTATGTGATATAGGGTTTTTCACAGACACAAGAAGAAGTGAGACAAGCTGCTAATGATCTAAAGCTCAGTGAAGCAAAGGAAAGTCCTTCCAGGGAATTCAGTGAGTATTGATGAGGCTTGATAAAGCTCTTCTGTGGCACATCTGGGCTGATGAACTGATCTCTGCTGAAGGTATATGAAGGTAACAAGAGGCATCCTGGCATAATTCAGGGGCTTCCACTCTCTCGGGCATATTTTGTTAACAGAGTACAGCTATTTCAAGAGAACATGCACAAAATCAAGCACACACCTCTGGCTTTCCCATGGGTAAATGTCTGTTTGCGAGGGGAACAACTGTGCAGTATCTAGGTCCTGTGTCAGGTCAGGCAAAGAAGTGAGAATGACATGGCCAGAGGCATCATTAAAAGTACTTCCCAAGGAAAAAATCACCTGGCTATTTTTCTTTTTTTATTATAGTAGAAACAACGCATTTTTCTTTGGCCTCCATTTTGGAAATAACAAGATCATTCTAGATCAAATCCTAAAGTACAAAAAAGCCACATATCAGCCAACATCACCAACAACCAAAGAATAAAATAAAAAAATCTATATAGAAAATATTTACCTTAAATACTTACAACTTGAGTTAAAGTAATCGAGTAAAAGGTCCTATTATGGCAAGATACAGGCAGTCTGGAGAACAAGTGGCTCTCCTGATGTTTAAATAAATAATTTCATTACTGAGTCCAGTTTTGGAATACTTAGCAAAGAAGAGATATTAACTGTCTGAAGTGAACCTAATGGAAGGCCATCAAACTAAATTGGCTCTGGACCACATGATGTACAAGAGGTTGAGGGAGCTGATTTTGCTCAGGCTAAAGAAGAGAACACTAATGGGAGGTTAATAGTCTCAAAGCTCAGTTGGCTGGAGCATGGTACTAATACTGCCAAGGTTGTCAGTTTGATCCCTGCATGGGTCATTCAGAGATGGCTCTTGTGGGTCCCTTCCAACTCAGAATGTTCTGTGATTCTGTATTGCTGATGTCATCCATTAATGAAATTGCTAGTTCTGAAGAGCTGGAGCCACACTTGTTTGGAGGTGCACATTGGAAGGATAGGAAATAATGGTTGCATGCTGTGGCATGGGATATTGCTACTAGTATCAGAATAAAAGTTTACCGGTTGCTATACACAGGCACTTGTGAGAGAGGCTGTGAAATATTTGTCCCTGGGGAAATTAAAGATCTGACTGCACAGGAACTTGAACAATGTGACCTGTCTTTGCAGTTAGCCTGTGTTGAGCAGTAGTTTGGACGTAATGGCCTTTTGTGGTGATTATGTGCATTATCCTTCCTTAAACAAAGTTGTATTCCTGCTTTGTCCGGGCTTGTTTTTCTCCTCTGTGCTATATCTGTCACTATTGGTTGTGCACTGTTTCATCTTGCCAGCCATATTACCCTCTATATCTGCTCCCTGAAACACGTCAGTTCATACTAAATGTTTAATTTTTTTACACAACACTTTCTTGACCTAATTTAGGAGATGATGCACACTGTACTTGCCCCCTCTATGATCAATTATTCTGAAGTGTCTTGCTGTGCCATCAGTTTGGATGTACATTGTGTGAAGGACTGACAAGACCATACATTCCCATACATCCCACCAGCAGCTTGCTAACCACAAATGTTTGCAATTTTGCACAGTTCCCAAACATCCACATTCTATATAGATTCTTGTACTCCAATAGTATAAACCACTCTGACAGAAAGGATGGGGAACGGATTGTTCAAGAGATCCACTAAGTCTGTATTCCTGCTCGAGGCAGGCTTTTGAACAATGCAATCAAAATGAACATTTAAATATTACCATAAAAGAGCAAAAAACTCATCAAAAGAAATTGCCTTAAAAAACGTCTTTTGCTGCAGCCACCCTGAAAAACTAGCAGGGAGCTTTTTAACCACAACTATTAAACACTAAATTTTTCTGGTTGATGCCTTTCTCCTCTGAATTTCATAGCATTTGCTGGTGAAGCAAATGCCCATTGTGAGGACACTTAGTACAGTCACTGTTAGGTTCGAGGCCATGGTTTAGGGCAGAAGAACAGCTATGGCAAACGTACAGGGATCAACATGATCCTTACATGAGCTGCAGTCAAGGCACACAGAGGCACACAAAAGTTGGGTCTGATCTGATTTCCCCTCTGAATCACTGCTATCATGCTCAGAGAACACTCAGCAACTGGATGGGGATGATAGAAAAAAGCTGTTCTTCCTTGTTTTTTTCCCAAAATAATCTTGATTTTTCCTGTTCATTTTTCAAGGGTGATTGATTCTCAAGTATAGTAAACAGGCCTATGTTTCTGTAGTGTGAAGCAACAGCTAATAATAAGATGACAATTAATTTTCCTTATGAGTCAAAGTTTGTTTCTTATTTGTTCAAGTGCAGGGACAGGAGATTCTGACTCTTCTTACTGCGAAGTTTTTCTACAACTGCTTCTTAAGGTTATGACAGCCTTGTAACACTGACCTACTGTTCCACAGATAATCACCATGTACTGGAGCACCACTTGTGTAATCATCTAATCATGAAAAAGACAAAATTAATGCAGAATTTTCCTCAAGAGACTTTTAAAATGTAAAGTTGATAGTCTCCATGGAAATGTAGCCCAATACAAGTTTTTCCTCTGAGCCTCCTACTCTAGTGACAGTTTGAATATGTGTTAATTATGCACATTCAGCCTTCCATTACATAGTAGCTGGCAAATGCTAATTACTATTTGCTCACTGGAGAGCTTAGGTCACTGTGGACAGTCTTGAAACTTCCTGAGTTGCATGAAATATCAGTGTTCTGAAGTTCATGTTGATGAGAAACCTACAACAGTGAGCACTTCTTCCTCTCTGAATTCTAAGAGAGATAGTATTACAATGTAAAGTACATCCAGAGCTATTTGAATTAAGAAAAATAAAAAAAAATCCTATTGTTTAAAATATTAATAGTTTTTTTGGAGTTGCTGCTCCAGGATATCCTTTCCCCAGGAAGTATTTACTTATTTATTTATTACCAGGTTGCAGGTTTCAGAGAAGAACTATAACTCTAGAGCCACACTAGTTTTGACTCAAATGACAAATTTTTTTGTTTATATCCAGAAACGTAAAAAGATCTCTGTATCTCAGATACAGTCTCCCTTGAATAGAGCTTCATTTACCCTTTTTAAGGACACTGCTCAATTTTATGTATTGGAGAGATGAGACAACAAACTAAATTGCAGCCTGGAAACAAGCCTTAGCTTATTGATAAGGACTTAAGAAAAATATTAAGTTTATTAAAAGATGACTAGACCACAGTTTGTATGTATGTGAATAGGAAAAGAGCAGGGTTTGACTGAGATTCATTCCTTTAGAAAAACAACCACCACCACTGAAAGCACCAGAAAAAAACAACCAAAAAAAATCCATCAAAAGAAAATGAACCAAAACAACTCCCTCAAAAAAAGCAACCAAACAGAAGAACACAACATGAAAAAGACCTAAATATGCAAACAAAAAAGCTGAAATAGACACATTCATCACATGCTGTTAGCTGGAATGTCCTGTGGAGATGTGTGTCTCCTTTAGTGGTACAGGGAAATCGGGTACCAAATGAGTTGCCTTAAATTGTGATGTGTTAATCTGAGGCCTCATTATTTGGCTGGGCTAAGGCACTACAGCAACCAAAATCTGAAAGCTGAACACACAAAATGTGAAACTGGAACAGGAAGCTGATGTTAGGAAACATTAGAGATCAGTGTGCAAAATGCATAATTTTGGATGCAAGAGATTTTGGAAAGCAAGGTTTTTCTGAACAGGGCAGTCTAGATTGACTACAAGCTATTTGATCAATGGTATCAAATTATTGATCTTCACTCAAGCTCATGAACTTTTGTTTATGGAAGTGGCTCCCTTGACTTGACCGGTACTGCTCGCAGATGAAGGGTTTGTTCAGCACAGGCACAATCCAGCCATATGAGTCTATACTGAAAATACTAATGTTGCTTTTAGAAATGATAGTCATCTTAAACACCATAATTCTCAGGGTTAACAGCTTCTTCAAACAAGTGCTTTGGGATGCTGAGTTAATTAAACATCTTCCTAAGTAAACAACTATGTCAGAGGTTGAGGGCAACTGAGGTTCTTCCTCTTCCCACTGAGTATTTTCTGGAGAGGAGCTAGTCATTAAAATTTTTGAATTGCCTTCACCAAAAACTAGCTCTTGCCCTTCTCAAACTGTGCCTCCTTCTTCCAGCTCTATTAAAAGACAGGTTAATGACAAAATTCACTTTGGCATGTCAAGGTCTATGTGCCAGCTATTCATTTGCTCTTATTATCCTTTAGCCTCAGGATACTGTGAAAGCTGAATAGATACTGACCACCTGCTATTTTGGAAGGCCAGACAGAAAAGATACTAATATCTCTTCTGGGCATGGCACAGCACAGAAGAGCCTCCTGCTCCTCCTCAGCATTTTAGCATTTATTTCTAAGGAGGTAATGTACAAAGATAATAGTGTTTATATTACTTTCTCATTTCTTGATGGTACAAAACCGGGGAAATTAACTGGAGGAAATTTTTTTTTTCATATTTAAATGTGAAACTTGCTTATGGAATAAGTTATGACTAGTACATACTTGTCTGTAAGAATTAGCAGCCTAGACAATCTCCCATATTGAATAATTTCTTTGCAATAATCTTAGATTTTGGCTTTTTTACTGTATCAGAAATATTTATCCAGCCAAGGGAAACACACCTCACAGTGAAGGCTGGTGGTGAGTACTGCTGTGCTACCACAGGGGAAATCCAAAAAAGCAGTTCACCTGTAGAAGGAAGGTCCTTCTGACATATGCCTGAGAAGTGAAACCCTGCAGACAGGGTTTTCAGTCATGCACACTTGTGTTTCTAAGTGAAAAGCAGATGCACACCTGCCTCCTGCTTCCCACAGTGCTCTACCAAGGTACATATGGAGGAAAAGCCACTGAATTGTTGTTCTCCAGAACATCAGGCGCAGCCAACTAGTGTACTACAAATTCTATACTGTGTAGTATTTTTTTGGGGATCAATGGGACCAAAAGCCTTAGACAAGTTACATTACTCTGAAGAAACCCACATGTTTGGGAAAAATGGAAGATACACAGTTTCTTAATGAGAAGCTCTGGGAGAAGTAATGGTATCAAAATACCACCGAAATTTAATACATTTTTATGCAGGTACCTGTCCATGTGATGACAATTTTAATGAACATATCAAACCTAAATTCTTGCAGTCAAGACTACTAAGTCCCTCCTTCTACAATTTTATTTTAGACAAATATGACCTGATCCAACTTGTTTTGGTTCTTAAAATAAGAAAAAAAGGGGAGAGACCACAGCACATTGAGAGAAATTACTATCTGGCAGGGTAGACAGGCAAAGTTACGGGGCACCTAGGATAATACTAGGATCACAGGAAGGAAGAATTACATTTAAGGATGACATAGTCCACACAAAGTAGGCTTTCAATAACCCCAGACTGAAATTTTTATTTTCGACTATGAGGATAGAGAGGTAAGGGTTTTTTTCCAATTTAAAAATGCTAGGGAATTTTCGTATTCTTTCTGATATAGGATATTTGGTTTTAATTGAGAGTTCAATTCAATTGAATTGAGTTACAAGTTCTTGCACTGAAAAAATACTCTGTGTGCATATTTTAATGAAAGTACTCACTTGAAAATGCTGATCATCACTATTTGCAATAGGTACATCTGTCATTCAGAAAGAAACTTACTGTAGGTAATTAAGGTTAGTAATAACACTACAGAAATTGCATTATGCCTCAATTCCCTACATGAAAAATAATTCTTGTACCAAAGGGATTCTTTATAAAAGTAGATTAGCAGTTTTAAAAAATGGACACTTACAAGAAACAGGAAAATTTCTGATCTGGAGAAAATTGATATTAAAAAGAAAAACAA